TATCCAAAGATCCCGTTCGAGAGTTAACCTGCCCGGCCACCACAAAAGACGTATCCTCTGTTCCACTGGTTCGGTACCTTCCCTCTCCCAAAGTAATTTGAACGCTCGCTCCCTGGTGGTCGTTCACACTAAGTAACCCGCAATCAGACCGCGACCGCTTTGGAACCATTTTCGGCTATGTGACTTTGCGGTTTACGGTCATCTTGATCCGGCGTTTTGACCAACCTGCCAGGAGAGCGCTTTTTGAAGAGAAAGTGTCTGAGACCATGAGGAGCAATCGCTCCATGAGAGCCTGGAGGAGCACCTCGTATTTCGTCCGCAGTAGCTCCCGAAAGCTGACTGGCAAAAGCACCAAGCAATCTGGAATTATTTTGGGCATGGACCATGTGTGCCGCCGGTAAGAACTTTACCCCAGTGGCAATTTCACTACACTGCATGGATCTGAGTGCTCAGATCAGGGGTATTCAGTGATATAGGACATGTGGGGTATTTTAATGTATTGAGTGTGTTTTCGGGGTTTATGCGTGTTGTACCCTCTGTGTCCTGGAGATAATTAGTTTACCTGTTATCAATTCAATTATCTCCTGGACACAGAGACGTCTGGGTGGGGTTATGTGGAATGCAATGGAGACCCCATGCTGGGGTTCTTGTGGGTTCTTGTATAAATTATTTGTGCCTTGCCTGAATAAAGCAGTTCATTTTCACCCTTCGCTCAGTCTCGGCTAGTGTTTGGGTGGACTAGCTGTACAGCTATAATCTCTGCAGGAGAGCATTATCACTTGGAGCTGTACCCAGGACCCTGTTCCAGAGGAGGAAGCTATGGAGAGACCCCAGCTGAGGAGGTGTCTACTACTGGTGACCCGGTGAAGAGCTAGGAAGCGAGCTTGATGGAGGTACCCAGTCGGAGTGCCAGGCGGTCTGTCACAAACACACATAAAGAATAATGAAATAAAACAGATAAATCTATACAATGATCACAACTGGACCTCAGTCACCAAGGCCACCAAGACCTTTAGAAGAGGAAAGATAGGGAAACCACCAAGAAAAGTTGGCCTCCTTACCTGCCTGTTTAAAAGCTTTTTATACATTTTCTAAGTGTGTTGTTCAGGTTTGAATGTGCTACATTTTGTGTTGCTCACACACAACTAAAGTGCAGTTCTATTTAAACACTGAGCTAATATAGTAGCAATCACGATACATTACCGTGCTCGTAAAATCATCAAAATTGTATCCCAGCAGTAGTGATGCTCTAAACTTGCAATCAGTTAGAATACTGAACACAATATTTCCTTATAGTTGGAAATATTACATATATTTCTGAAAAATACAAACAAGCGACAGACCATCCATGTTAAAATAATAAACTCTTCGTAAATCCCTTTACAATGTCACTCACATATAGCTGAGCCCCTGGCTCTGGTTTAACAGCTGTGATGGAACATTTTATAACAGCTGGTTTTAACAGCTATAAGGGAACATTTCCTTCCGACCATATAGCCCCTAGTCCTCACCTGGGGGAGAGAGAGATAGACCAGGAAAACCTCAACAGCATTATATCAATAGTATCAATAATCTAATACAAAACAAGCAGAACGCTGTCTTAAAATCACTGTGAGTTTGAGAAAGCTCACACCACACACGTAATTAAAATTAATTCAAGCAGTTTCTTCTTCAGGTTTGGTTCTATCTTGTGGAGATCTATTGTGACATGTTTCATCCCCCATTCATGGCTTCATCCGACCTATATTATAAATGATACTTTTAGAACATTTCAATTAATCAGATATTATTTTCTACCTTTGTTGTATGACTTGCATCTCCTCAGCCACCCTTCACTTAGCACCTAAATAGTTTGTATCCAAATCCTCCCCCCTAACAACCTTCCACTTCCCCAAAATGTATTCTGCACTGCCACTCACCCTAACCCAACCCCCCCACTCTCACTGGGACAGAGGTCAAATAACAGAGTGTAATGTTCTCCTTTTTTGGCAAATTCTTTTTATATTTGGTTTAATTGTTGACAATTGTATTCGCATGTCTGCAGTTGCATCAAGTCGATTTCGATACTTTGTTTTTCTTGCAGAGTAAAGCGAGAATCCAGTTTCACATAAGTACGTGCTGGCCACTGGCATCAGAACTTTGATTGCCCGCTTGGACAATTCTGGGTATTCTTCACGTAAATCAAAAAAAGAAAAAGAAAAACTTCTTGAAATGTTTGGGTTAGTTGACTGTCAGAAGTTTGATCAGATTCTCCAAATTTATATATATATATTTTTTTTTTTTTAACCGCTCCTCCTTTTTTCATTCCATTACTCACTTATTGTGGCGGAACCACTACCTGTCCATGAATTGCCTTTCTTTATATTGTGTGTGTTTTCCCCATTCTTTCGTTTAGTGTGCCGCTCCCCGTTCGGAAGGTGTTCCATGAAGGGAATCCATTCACCTCCCGCCGACCAGGGCCCACCCCGATACCTCATTTAGAATGTTAGGTTAGAACTTTCACACCTCACTACATAGGTGTCAAACCGCAAACCGCAAAAGGAAACAATTAATGAGTGCTACCCATTCACTTCCCTTGCCAGGTTTCACACAGGGACCTCGCGAACGGAGACTATTCAAGGAAGATGCCGCGGTAAGATTCCCTGAGGTTGGTGTTGACACTTATGGGGCACTGGCTAGGTTGGCGGGCTTGTCGGTGCCTGCAGGGACACAGAGACCAGCTCTTTTCCTGCGGACGGGCTTTTTCTGTACCTGGAAGACAAAGGGACAGTCGCTTTTTCCCAGGCCTGGACTCCCAGGCACAGAAGCTCCTGGGAAGAGGACCCTTGATGTCTAGTTTGGGAAACCGTGTGTTCACAGTAGCGGGCTTTGGGGACAAAGGGAACCAAGTCCCTTCCCGCACTAGGGTCCCAGGGAGGGGGAGGATCTGGGGATGTGACCTTGTCTGTTTGTGTGGGAAACCCCTTGCACGGGGTTATGCATAAAAGCCGTGTGTGGTCAATAAAATTATGTTGTACCTCCAGAACTGTGTGTCGTCCAGTTTCTGGGGGGACTTGGTTTCTCTTTGTACTCTTTGTACTTTACATGGTTCCTGACCGGCTGAAGGAAGGGAATTAGCGGAGGTAACCAGACTGGTTACCCTGGGTCTGCTACACTTATCACTTGTTCTATGAATAATTTTAACATTTAGTGACTGTCCCCTAGCCACCAATCATCTATTTTTTTTCATTGACCATCTCTTTTTCAAACACCACAGGCAGAATTTAGAGTCGTGAACCCATGCAAACATGTTCGGCGCTGCGTGTTTCAGTTGGCTTGTGATTGGACAATATTTTGCCTAGGAGTTTGGAAATTCAAATTGCAGTTCAGCTTGAAATAAATCTCCATGTTTTGTTTCATGTGTTATCCCTTTTGCTGGTCATCACACATGATGTAATCCCTGGCTCCCAATATCCATTTCTCAGAGATAGCAATGCTGCCTAGCACTCCTCAGTATGGATGTGAACGACTGGTCGTTGAACCCCCGGAGGTCAAAGATAAAAGCATTGACACATGTATTCAAATGCCTGGTAATTCTGTATTTCACCCTTTTAAATGTCACATTGTTACAACTTACAGCTCTGTAGCTGGTATTGTAAGATATACAAGCAGCACCAGGGGCCCATGGACCCATTCCGTCTCATCTCTGGAATGCTTGCGGTCTCTTTACCAAATAACTGGATAAAACGGCCTGATTCGACAGAGCATGTTGCAACCACTGGTAGAGCCGGATCAGCCACAGTCTAGGCACAGTGGGCAGAGTGGGCCTAGACAGCAGGTGATGTTTCCCAATCACAAGACCCAAGAATGGAACTCCATCCCATATCTGGCACTGACTCCCACTCCCAGTAACCATTGGCATGTGTTTTTGAGGGGAAACTTCACCCTGATTGGTGTAAGCAGCAGCCAATAAGAGTCTTCCTCTGCAGTCACATGGCACAGAGAAGAATACTCAGTCTGTCCATGTGACGGAATACCCCATCACTTGTGTTAGTTCCTTTACCCATTCGTATCTATACACCAAAATAGTTCCATAAGAAAAGTGGAAGCATTCGGTCAATTTCAGAGTCCAAAACCAAACAAATGCTGATTCAATCCTCTGGCTCCTAGGTAGCGATTGTTCGCCTAGTTCATGTGATCAATCCAACCGAATGGCACTCTCCAGACATGAATAGCAACAAAGCAGGCGTTCATCAAAATTCAGCTGTGTTCGTTAGTTAGAGTGTCCGATTTTAGTTCCATGCACTCGACGACCAAACAGCACTACCTGCGTTCGTGCGAACAAAATGGCTGAACGGCGGCCACCAGCCGAAGACTCAGAATCCATAGTGTGAAAATGGTGATGGAGGTGTCAGGACCACCTCTGTGTTAACAAGCACAGGGGTGGTCCATAGTTTGTGGGTTATTGTTCAGTTCCTGAACAATAAAGGGAAACGGTATACACACAGTATACACAGCACACACTGACAGCTTTTACAATGTACAGTTTTACTCCTAATTTAAGATATCATTGTTTGTAATATTAAGGTCATGTATTGTGCTAACTAAATAATAGTTTCTATTATATAGTAATTATATATTAATTTATAACGTTTAACATCTTTGGAAAAGAAAATAACAAAATATTACTAAAAAGGGTATAAAAATAACATATTTAAAGGGAAAGTGCCTCAGATTAAGTGTAAACAGTCAGTGCAAATTAAAATGTCTACCTGACGCAGGACTGGAGGCTGACCTGGGGACTGTTGGGAGGTATGCTGTGGGTAACACATGAATTAACTTAATGTTGAATTTACGCAGAATAAAAGCTGACCATTAAAACTATGAAACCATTAAACAGGGAAGGACAGCTTGAATATTTTTATTGCAGGGGCAGTGGATACTTGGAATAATGACACAGTTTCCAGACAGATAAGGAAAACACAGACAGGGAGAGCCAATATTCACTGATACCATGCTAAGCTCTGTCCTTGGAGAAGAACGGCAGGCAGTAGGACCCAGTGACGCCCAGTCAGACAGATAGCATATCCTGTACTTTGAGCTGTGATCAGGCGCACTCTGTCAGTAAGCTCAGCATGGAGCTGTTTGCTTTCCTCTCTCACCCCATCTGGTTCTTTACCTTTGTCCTTCTAGTAATTATCCTGCGTGCAAAAAGGAAAGGGCCATGGAACCCTCGCCAGTGCAAGAAAGATCTAACTGGGAAAACCGCCATAGTGACTGGAGCCAACACAGGTAAGGACACATGGCATGCATAGATTGCAAGCTCCTGGGGACAGAAACAGAGGATTTTCCTTACACACGGTGAATGGTGAGTGTGTGCTTAGTGATTCGTAATTAACCCTAGCATGGGAGGAGTGATAGAGGACATTTATTAATATAAAGAGTTAATTCTTTATATTATTAGCATTATTTATTTTATATATATATATACATACAGTCACAGGTCTAGTGATTGATAAAACATAAACAGTGATCAATACAATATAGATAGTGTAAGACATGAAACAGACAGCGATTGGCACAAGACAGACAGTGACTGACAAAAGACAGACAGCAATTGACACAAGACAGACTGTGAGTGACACAAGACAGACAGCGATTGACACAAGACAGACTGTGAGTGACACAAGACAGACAGCGATTGACACAAGACAGACTGTGAGAGACACAAGACAGACAGCGATTGACACAAGACAGACAGCGATTGACACAAGACAGACAGCGATTGAAACAAGACAGACTGTGAGTGACACAAGACAGACAGCGATTGGCACAAGACAGACAGCGATTGACACAAGACAGACTGTGAGTGACACAAGACAGACAGCGATTGACACAAGACAGACTGTGAGTGACACAAGACAGACAGCGATTGACACAAGACAGACAGCGATTGACACAAGACAGACTGCGATTGAAACAAGACAGACTGTGAGTGACACAAGACAGACAGCGATTGACACAAGACAGACTGTGAGTGACACAAGACAGACAGCGATTGACACAAGACAGACTGTGAGTGACACAAGACAGACAGCGATTGACACAAGACAGACAGCGATTGACACAAGACAGACTGCGATTGAAACAAGACAGACTGTGAGTGACACAAGACAGACAGCGATTGACACAAGACAGACTGTGAGTGACACAAGACAGACAGCGATTGACACAAGACAGACTGTGAGTGACACAGTCAATGGTCAATCAGGGCTTGCAAGTAGAATAAATGATCAATTATAAACTACAGAAACTACAGACCTGACAACCAGTGGGGGGACTAAAAGTAAAGTAAGAATTGCAAGAATTGCTGTTGGGCTTCCCTATTGTAAGAGTTGGCAAAAGGTAGATCCTCATCTGTCATACAACTCCCACAATTCTTCGACAGCTGGGGCAACACCCGTTTCCCATGCTTGCAGGGTTGGAATTAGCATTGAGTAATGTTTGTGTGTTTGAATGTAAGCATGTTTACGTATGATGTATATTTGTGTGAATGTAGGGTGTGTTTCTATGTAGTGTTGGTGTTTGAATGCAGGAGTGCTTATATATAATTTTGGTGTTTAATACAGAGGTGTGTTTGTGTGTAGTGTTGACGTTTGAATGTTGAGATGTATGTTCATATACTCATACACTGCCACACACACACACTGTAATAAACATATAGCCAGATACATACACTGACACACAGACACATAAATATACACACACTGACTGACATACACTAACAGACATCCATATACACACCAACAGAGATACACATACATACACCCCCTCATCTTTGCGAAGAGAGAGGACAGGGCCAATGCAATTAGTGATGAAGACACTTCACATAACGCGGGACGTCTGAAATTACTAGATTGGATGTGACTTCTAACTACAAAACACACAAACTTTTAATCTTCACAGCATTATTCATTCAACTAGGACTTGTAGAGAATGAAAATCCCAAACTGGAACTTTTGAATTTTTCCAATTCAGCTATTTTGGCATAAAATGTGCAACTCAGATTATTATTTGTATTCAATTTAGAGTTCAGAAATATCTGTATATCTGTAACTGAAGCATCTCAAAAATATTATTGGAATTTCTTTCAAAGTTAAATTCTCATCTTCCCTTTCTAAGAACTTGGAAGATAAACAGAAAGTCTTGAAAGCCGGTACTCGGCCAGTCGGGAGGTGAATGCTGAGAGTCTCCTGCCTCCTTCCTGCTGCGCAACTCTACATAGTGGGGGGAGATCTTGTAAAATGTACAAGTTTATATGGATAAGTTTTGAGAGGTAGTATGAGTTTTGGGTTCTGTACTAAATTCTCTCCTCTTTACTTTGAGTAGGTATTGGGAAAATGGTGGCTACTGACCTGGCCAGGAGAAATGCTCGGGTAATCTTAGCATGTCGTAGCAAGGAACGTGGCCAAAAAGCCCTGACAGAGATTCGGGAGCAGACTGGGAACAGGAATGTTACGTTGGCAATCCTGGACACAAGCAGCTTATCCTCTGTTAGAACATTCGTGGAACGCATTCTGCAGGAGGAAAAAAGGCTGGATATACTGGTTAATAATGCTGGTGCATCAGGTACATAGAAGCAGATAATACATCTAGTACATGGGAAATGGATGGAACATCTAGTATATGGGAAAGGGATAGAACATTTAGTATATGGGAAAGGGATAGAACATATAGTACATGGGAAAGGATAGAACATCTAGTACATGGGAAAGGATAGAACATCTAGTACATGGGAAAGGGATAGAACATCTAGTACATGGGAAAGGGATAGAACATCTAGTATATGGGAAGGAATAGAACATCTAGTAGATTGGAACAGATAGAACATCTAGTACATGGGAAGGAATAGAGCATCTAGTACATGGGAAAGGGATAGAACATCTAGTACATGGGAAGGAATAGAACATCTAGTATATGGGAAGGAATAGAACATCTAGTAGATTGGAACAGATAGAACATCTAGTACATGGGAAGGAATAGAGCATCTAGTACATGGGAAAGGGATAGAACATCTAGTACATGGGAAGGAATAGAACATCTAGTATATGGGAAGGAATAGAACATATAGTACATGGGAAAGGGATAGAACATCCAGTATATGGGAAAGAGATAGAACATCTAATATATGGGAACAGGATATAACATCTAGTACATGGGAAAGGAATAGAACATCTAGTACATGGGAAAGGAATAGAACATCTAGTACATGGGAAAGGGATAGAACATCTAGTACATGGGAAGGAATAGAACATCTAGTATATGGGAAAGGGATAGAACATCTAGTACATGGGAAGGAATAGAACATCTAGTATATGGGAAAGGGATAGAACATCTAGTACGTGGGAAGGAATAGAACATCTAGTATATGGGAAGGAATAGAACATCTAGTACATTGGAAAGGGATAGAACATCTAGTACATGGGAAAGTGATAGAACATCTAGTATATGGGAAAGAACATCTAGTATATGGGAAAGGGATAGAACATCTAGTACATGGGAAAGAACATCTAGTACATGGGAAGGAATAGAGCATCTAGTATATGGGAAAGAGATAGAACATCTAGTACATGGGAACAGGATATAACATCTAGTACATGGGAAAGGAATAGAACATCTAGTACATGGGAAGGAATAGAACATCTAGTACATGGGAGAGGGATAGAGCATCTAGTATATGGGAAAGGGATAGAACATCTAGTATATGGGAAGGAATAGAACATCTAGTATATGGGAAGGAATAGAACATATAGTACATGGGAAAGGGATAGAACATCTAGTATATGGGAAAGAGATAGAACATCTAGTACATGGGAAAGGGATAGAACATCTAGTACATGGAAAGGGATAGAACATCTAGTACATGGGAAGGAATAGAACATCTAGTACGTGGGAAGGAATAGAACATCTAGTATATGGGAAGGAATAGAACATCTAGTACATGGGAAATGGATAGAACTTCTAGTACATGGGAAGGAATAGAACATCTAGTACATTGGAAAGGGATAGAACATCTAGTATATGGGAAGGAATAGAACATCTAGTACATGGGAAGGAGATGGAACATCTAGTACATTGGAAAGGGATAGAACATCTAGTATATGGGAAGGAATAGAACATCTAGTACATGGGAAAGGGATAGAACATCCAGTATATGGGAAAGAGATAGAACATCTAATATATGGGAACAGGATATAACATCTAGTACATGGGAAAGGAATAGAACATCTAGTACATGGGAAAGGGATAGAACATCTAGTACATGGGAAGGAATAGAACATCTAGTATATGGGAAAGGGATAGAACATCTAGTACATGGGAAGGAATAGAACATCTAGTATATGGGAAAGGGATAGAACATCTAGTACATGGGAAGGAGATGGAACATCTAGTATATGGGAAGGAATAGAACATCTAGTACATGGGAAATGGATAGAACTTCTAGTACATGGGAAGGAATAGAACATCTAGTACATTGGAAAGGGATAGAACATCTAGTACATGGGAAAGTGATAGAACATCTAGTATATGGGAAAGAACATCTAGTATATGGGAAAGGGATAGAACATCTAGTACATGGGAAAGAACATCTAGTACATGGGAAGGAATAGAGCATCTAGTATATGGGAAAGAGATAGAACATCTAGTACATGGGAACAGGATATAACATCTAGTACATGGGAAAGGAATAGAACATCTAGTACATGGGAAGGAATAGAACATCTAGTACATGGGAGAGGGATAGAGCATCTAGTATATGGGAAAGGGATAGAACATCTAGTATATGGGAAGGAATAGAACATCTAGTATATGGGAAGGAATAGAACATATAGTACATGGGAAAGGGATAGAACATCTAGTATATGGGAAAGAGATAGAACATCTAGTACATGGGAAAGGGATAGAACATCTAGTACATGGAAAGGGATAGAACATCTAGTACATGGGAAGGAATAGAACATCTAGTACGTGGGAAGGAATAGAACATCTAGTATATGGGAAGGAATAGAACATCTAGTACATGGGAAATGGATAGAACTTCTAGTACATGGGAAGGAATAGAACATCTAGTACATTGGAAAGGGATAGAACATCTAGTATATGGGAAGGAATAGAACATCTAGTACATGGGAAGGAGATGGAACATCTAGTACATTGGAAAGGGATAGAACATCTAGTACATGGGAAAGTGATAGAACATCTAGTACATGGGAAAGTGATAGAACATCTAGTATATGGGAAAGAACATCTAGTATATGGGAAAGGGATAGAACATCTAGTACATGGGAAAGAACATCTAGTACATGGGAAGGAATAGAGCATCTAGTATATGGGAAAGAGATAGAACATCTAGTACATGGGAACAGGATATAACATCTATGTAACGGACCGTTTTGCACACAAGGGGTAAAAACCGTTTAGGCGATCGGCCCCCTTTCCAGAGATACAGGCACAGCTACTGCAGAACATCAAACTCCCAAACTGGATACAAAATAGCACTCCAACTCCCGAACTGGAACCTCCCAAATAGCTGCTAGCAGACGAACAGGAAAAGCTCCCAAGCAGCTTACACTCCTGGCAATCAGTCTCTAACAGCATACAGTGAATCCCCCCAAGAACGAGACAAGGCTCTGTGTTGAGGATCAAGCAGTGGTCTGAGGTGCTGGCACACCCAGCCTGGTTTTTATTACAGTGTTTCAAATACAGGACCACCCACAGGGAGGGATAAAACAACCAATCATATCACAGTTACATCCCACATATTCCCTCCCCTTATCCTGAGAGGAAACTCAATTATACAAACAGTTAAAACATACTTTCTACCCAACTTTCATAACTCCAAAACCATACATCACATTCACATAAAATTACATATTCTCAATCAATCCATTCAGGGGAACAACATATTCAAAAATGGCACAAATCAGACAAGGGGTTCAAAAGTTAGTAAAAAGTCCTTTGTGACTAAATGAAGCATGGCTTTCTGGCCCAAACCAGTTTCAGAGTCTTCTATCCTGGAGATAAGTAATTCAATTATCTCCCAGGACAGACACAAGACTCCATTAAGCACATGGTTGCAAAGAGACACAAAACACTTTAAAATACATAAAGTCACATTTATTACATAAAACACAGACATGTAACATATCCCCAGATAGCTCAGGTCCGAGCGCACATTATTAAGTGAATGGCGCTCAGACCACACGAATACAGTTTAATCGCCATGGAGCTAAAGTCTTTACAGTCAGTTTCATACGAATGGGCTCCATGGGATTCCTATCTGGGGTATAACACATTCAAACAAATCTACCGAACCCCAGGCAGAAAAGCACGAATACAGCTTTTCTGCAGGCAAAAATAAAGTCTTTTAAAAGGGGGCCATAGTCCAAAGGCAGCAGGCGAGCAACCAGGCTTCTCCAATGCAATGTGGCGAGATTGGTCTCGTCACATCTCTCCCCTTTTCCAAACAGACTAACAGGGTATCTGACCTCCTGCCGGTCAGTGCCCTTGTTAGTCCAGCAGCCCACCCACAACAAATAATCAACAGCACAGCCCACCCACAATAAATGGTTACTACACCTGGGTAAAGGAGAAGCTTGTCCATGTCCAGGTGCCTCACCACGGCTGGGCTGGGTACGGGTACGCTGACTTGGTGGGTTGCTGCGTGGGCAGAGACCAGCGGCACTCTGCCCTGTTGCCAGCGCTACTGGGAGGATAGCCTGGTTGAAGCCTGGTTGTTGGAGGGGGAGACCGACTGTCTCCCCTTTAAATACACCGCTCTGCTGCTGGAGACTGACTGTCTCCCCTTTAGATGCACAGTCCTGCTGCTGGAGACCGACCGTCTCCCCTTTGGTTACCCATCTCTGCTGCTGGAGGGGGAGACCGACTGTCTCCCCTTTGGCTAAACAGCCCTGTCGCTGGGGGGCAGAACCGACCGTCCCTACCCCCTGTGCTGGCAGTGTAGAGACTACGGTCCCATCTGCACAGTTGTGGGGCTTACTGTCTCCCCCTGATACATTAAGCTGCAGCTGGGGAGAGGGGGTAACAGGCTCCTCTCCCGATAGAACACTCTGCCGCTGGGGAAAGGAGACTGAGCTCTCTATTCCCTGCCCATTAATGATCCGCTGCTGGGGAGAGGTGGTAGCAAGCTCCTCTCCCATACATACTTTCATCCTCTGTGGAGGGAGACCGACTGTCTCTGCTCCCAATACTGTGTCCTGCTGCTGGGGAAAGGAGACTGGGCTCTCTATTCCCGGTAGGACACTCTGCCGCTGGGGAATGGAGACTGGGCTCCCAATTCCCTGCTGTATCTCCCGCTGGGGAATGGAGACTGGGCTCCCAATTCCCAAAAAATCATGCTGCTGCTCTGCCCCCTGTAGCCCAGCCTGCCGCTGGGGAGGGAGGACGCTGCTCTCCTCTCCCTGCACTTTACACTGCCTTCCTGGCATATCACTCTGCTGCTGGGGGGCAGGAACAACTACCTCTGCCCCCTGTAACTCAGCCTGCCGCTGGGGAATGGAGCTTGGGCTCCCAATTCCCTGCAATATCTCCCGCTGGGATATGGAGCTCGGGCTCCCAATTCCCTGCAATACCGGTGGAGAGACCTCGGTCCCCTCTCCACCTGCCGCCTGGGGTTCCTCCCAGTAAATTTCAACAATATCTTCCCAGCTGAATGGGTCTGAGACTGGATCTGTCACTCTGCTGTCCTGTGGAGCCTTCCCAATGGAGTGGAAGAGATCTCGGTAGTCCTGCTCCAGTTCCCACTCCAGGGTTGCTAGGTGAACCAGGTCTTGCTCTACCTCATGGGGGTCATCCCAGTCATGCCTAGCCTCCCTCTCGTAGAAAATTTCCTGAAGTCTGTTCTGCGCAGGGCTCCCGAAGTCAGGCTCTGCAAAGGACTCCCATAACAAGCCAGGACCATCAAACTCCTCTCCCCCTGGCTTGTCATGCTCAGCTGTCCAGGGTATATACTGTGCCATATACCACCAGAGCGCCTGGTAGGCATCCTCCAGCCATAGCTCCTGCCATACCCGATGCTCTAGTTCCTTCACCCATTCCTCCAGGGGCTGCTCTCTCAGGAAGGGCATCCGCAGGGCCACTTGCTTCTGCAACCGCTGCTCTTCACTGGGGAGACTCTCACCCCGCTGGTATTGTACATTATCCAGGGCCTGGTACCAGATGCCTTTCCTTAATGCATCCCGGCCATCCAGGTCCTCCTCCTTGTATAACACTGCTGGTTCCATTCTGTTGCTTTTAGGGTGGCTGTACTGGGACATGCGTTGCCCCCACTTGTAAATCCAAAGAAATGGTCTCTCCTGTAGCTGTCCTTCTGGCTGTAGGAACGATCCCGCCGCTTGCCACCAATTGTAACGGACCGTTTTGCACACAAGGGGTAAAAACCGTTTAGGCGATCGGCCCCCTTTCCAGAGATACAGGCACAGCTACTGCAGAACATCAAACTCCCAAACTGGATACAAAATAGCACTCCAACTCCCGAACTGGAACCTCCCAAACAGCTGCTAGCAGACGAACAGGAAAAGCTCCCAAGCAGCTTACACTCCTGGCAATCAGTCTCTAACAGCATACAGTGAATCCCCCCAAGAACGAGACAAGGCTCCGTGTTGAGGGTCAAGCAGTGGTCTGAGGTGCTGGCACACCCAGCCTGGATTTTATTACAGTGTTTCAAATACAGGACCACCCACAGGGAGGGATAAAACAACCAATCATATCACAGTTACATCCCACATATTCCCTCCCCTTATCCTGAGAGGAAACTCAATTATACAAACAGTTAAAACATACTTTCTACCCAACTTTCATAACTCCAAAACCATACATCACATTCACATAAATTTACATATTCTCAATCAATCCATTCAGGGGAACAACATATTCAAAAATGGCACAAATCAGACAAGGGGTTCAAAAGTTAGTAAAAAGTCCTTTGTGACTAAATGAAGCATGGCTTTCTAGCCCAAACCAGTTTCAGAGTCTTCTATCCTGGAGATAAGTAATTCAATTATCTCCCAGGACAGACACAAGACTCCATTAAGCACATGGTTGCAAAGAGACACAAAACACTTTAAAATACATAAAGTCCTATTTATTACATAAAACACAGACATGTAACATATCCCCAGATAGCTCAGGTCCGAGCGCACATTATTAAGTGAATGGCGCTCAGACCACACAAATACAGTTTAATCGCCATGGAGCTAAAGTCTTTACAGTCAGTTTCATACGAATGGGCTCCATGGGATTCCTATCTGGGGGATAACACATTCAAACAAATCTACCGAGCCCCAGGCAGAAAAGCACGAATACAGCTTTTCTGCAGGCAAAAATAAAGTCTTTTAAAAGGGGGCCATAGTCCAAAGGCAGCAGGCGAGCAACCAGGCTTCTCCAATGCAATGTGGCGAGATTGGTCTCGTCACAATCTAGTACATGGGAAGGAGATGGAACATCTAGTATATGGGAAGGAATAGAACATCTAGTACATTGGAAAGGGATAGAACATTTAGTATATGGGAAAGGGATAGAACATCTAGTACATGGGAAGGAATAGAACATCTAGTACATTGGAAAGGGATAGAACATTTAGTATATGGGAAAGGGATAGAACATCTAGTATATGGGAAGGAATAGAACATCTAGTATATGGGAAAGAACATCTAGTACATGGGAAGGAATAGAGCATCTAGTATATGGGAAAGAGATAGAACATCTAGTACATGGGAAGGAATAGAGCATCTAGTATATGGGAAAGAACATCTAGTACATGGGAAGGAATAGAGCATCTAGTATATGGGAAAGAGATAGAACATCTAGTACATGGGAACAGGATATAACATCTAGTACATGGGAAGGAGATGGAACATCTAGTACATGGGAGAGGGATAGAACATCTAGTATATGGGAAAGGGATAGAACATCTAGTACATGGGAAAGGGATAGAACATCTAGTACATGGGAAGGAATAGAACATCTAGTACATTGGAAAGGGATAGAACATATAGTACATGTGAAGGAGTTGAATGGATCAATTGGAAAATAGGGAGGACATGAATCATCTGATATTTGAGAAGTGGGAAAGGGATAGAACATCTAGTACATGGGAAAGGGATAGAACATCTAGTACATGGGAAGGAATAGAACATCTAGTACATGGCAAAGGGATAGAACATCTAGTATATGGGAAAAGGATAGAACATATAGTACATGGGAAGGAGGTGGAACATCTAGTACATGGGAAAGGGATAGAATATCTAGTACATGGGAAGGAATATAACATCTAGTACATGGGAAAGGGATAGAACATCTAGTATATGGGAAATGGATAGAACATCTAGTACATGGGAAATGGATAGAACATCTAGTACATGGGAAGGATATGGGAAAGGGGTAGAACATCTAGTACATGGGAAGGAATAGAACATCTAGTACATGGGAAGGAATAGAACATCTAGTATATGGGAAAGAACATCTAGTATATGGGAAAAGGATAGAACATCTAGTACATGGGAAAGGGATAGAACATCTAGTATATGGGAAAGAACATCTAGTATATGGGAAAGGGATAGAACATCTAGTATATGGGAAAGGGATAGAACATCTAGTATATGGGAAAGGGATAGAACATCTAGTGCATGGGAAAGGGATAGAACATCTAGTACATGGGAAAGGATAGAACATCTAGTATATGGGAAAAGGATGGAACATCTAGTACATGGGAAGGAGGTGGAACATCTAGTACATGGGAAAGGAATAGAACATCTAGTACATGGGAAAGTGATAGAACATCTAGTACATGGGAAAGTGATAGAACATCTAGTATATGGGAAAGAACATCTAGTATTTGGGAAAAGGATAGAACATCTAGTACATGGGAAAGGGATAGAACATCTAGTACATGGGAAAGAACATCTAGTATATGGGAAAGGGATAGAACATCTAGTACACAGGAAAAGGATAGAACATCTAGTGCACGTGAAAGGGATAGAACATCTAGTACATGGGAAAGGATAGAACATCTAGTAGATTGGAACAGATAGAACATCTAGTACATGGGAAGGAATAGAGCATCTAGTATATGGGAAAGGGATAGAACATCTAGTACATGGGAACAGGATATAACATCTAGTATATGGGAAAGGGATAGAACATCTAGTACATGGGAACAGGATATAACATCTCGTACATGGGAAATGGATAGAACTTCTAGTACATGGGAAAGGGATAGAACATCTAGTACATGGGAAAGGGATAGAACATCTAGTACATGGGAAAGGGATAGAACATCCAGTACATGGGAAGGAGATGGAACATCTAGTACATTGGAAAGGGATAGCACATCTAGTACATGGGAAGGAGTTGAATGGATCAATTGGAAAATAGGGAGGACATGAATCATCTGATATTTGAGAAGTGAATGGATTTTGAGGTACAAGGGAAACATTGTGTACATGGGAAGGAGATGGAGCATCAAGTGACATGGGGTGGGCATAAGGAACCAGGAAGGTGAGGAGTGGATGGACTATCTAGTATATGGGGAGGAGACGGATCATCAGGCACATGGGAAGGGGTGAAGTATTAAGTACACGGGAAGCAGAAATACAGTATGGACTGTTGATGAAGACCTATGGTCATTGACCACAAAGGATGTGATTTCAGGACTTCCTCATTCTATCACACCTGAGGGTTTTGAAAAGACATTTGCCACCAATCACCTGGGCCCGTTTCTGCTTACAAACCTTCTGCTTGGTAAGTACCACTTACTGACTGTCAGGTTGTGTACTTGGCTTATACATGTCCTTTAAAGTACCATCATGTATACTCTGGTACCATTATCACATTATACGAAACATAATAAAATATATCTATCTCTATCCAACACCTTTATAAACTTACACAAATACCTAAATATAGTAAGACATTGTCAGGATCGACATGCCCCAAAATAACCAGATGAGACATTCGACAAAACAAATGTAAAAAAAACAAACTAAACAGGGGGTCTAGAACCCCATAATAACAGCATATTTCAGAGACCACTATTAATCTGTTATTATTTTCCACTTTATCCTTCCTGTGTTTAGGGCATGGCATTGACATTTGGCAATGTGATACCTCTAGCTTCTTCATACCACCATTTATACTGTGAGAGCAGAAGGTAATTTCTTTAATGGTGAATTTCCTCTTTCCCTGGTGCCCCATATGAAGGGTCCCTGAACCTCTATGACGCATGACCCCAACAATATGACACGTCTTTCCTAATAACAACAAGGGATGACTGAAGTGTGTCCTGCTACGTTAAAGGGGGCCAGGGATCTCCAAGATACCTGAATCCAATGCCATGACACCCCTGACCCCAAAAAAGTGTCTCCCTTTTCCAACCACAGCTTCTAAAGTAGGGGAGCTGTCTACTAAACAGCATCATTATTTGGGACAATTGCACATAAGGGTATCAATTTATGGGAGCCATCCATTAAACAGTGCCCTGATTTGGTATCCTAACTAGGGCAATCCCAAAACATGGTACCATCTAGTAAACAGCATTCTATAGGGAATAAACGACATCCATTTCTGAAAATTTTCAGATGAATTTCAGTTTGTTCTGAATTGAAATGGAAAAGTGTGAAATTAAGGAATGTGGCAAAACTAGCCACTTAAGACTGTATGTTCATTAATGTGATGCTGTGGCGTTAAGGCTATCTGAGCTGAGTGTATTCCCTGTCTGTATTTGATGCAAACGAGAGCATTCGTATGCTGGCAGCATGAAAGCCACCAGCATTCATACAGTAGTTTCACGAACAGTGAATTTCAACACTGTTCGTGAAACGAACAAACTTCCTAATGGGAGACCACACACAGGAGGTTGTGTGGCTCCCATTAAGTATTGCAACATTGTATCTTTCGGTAGTTAATAGATGTTCAAGGTGGCCGCCGTTCGGCTACCAACCACGCGGCGGTCAGCCATCTTGGATCCTTTGTTAGCCCAGCGGTAATTTGCCATCGAGCGCCTGGAACTAAAATAGGCTACTCGACGGCACGAATCCCGCTGGACCTCCAGGCCGTTTGGGAGCACCGGTCTTTCGGTATTTTAGCCTTGTTGGTCTATTCGTGCCTTTCTTAAAAAATTTATGTCCAAGTGTATTTCGTGCGGCGTTCTGCTAATGGTGCTGGGATCTGAGCGGTACTTTCACGAAGTATGCGCTCAGACCCCAGCTATCTGCCGAACGGTCATTCGGTATATTAGCACGAATAATGTTAAAGTTAAATATTTTTATGTAAAAAGCCAGTTCTGCTGCACAGAGGGATAATCCACTTAACTGGATATTTTAGTGGGAGTATCCCTCTCGTGCAGCAGTGCATGGAGGGAGAAATGTCTTGGTTGTCAAGTCCCCATGTAGCCCACTACTGTACAACCCCTGTAAAGTCAGTAAGGAAACCCCTTGCATGGGGAAGCACATAAATACTGTGACTTGTGATTAAAAACTCAGTTGATTCCCAGCCTATGTGTCGTCAGGTTCTTGGGAAGGAAGGATTTATTTAACGCTACCGGGATTATTGTATGCTGTACCTGTCTACCAGCGGAGACACTGTGGATTATATTACCTCTCCCCTACAATTGGTGGTAGCGGTGGGATTTCAAACACACAGCAAACCAGCGTTCGGCAGTAATCACCCAAATAAAGAAGAGAAGCAGCAGTTCAACTGAACAAACCATTCGGATAAAACCAGTGTTCGGTAAATAGGTTAAAGTACGCGAACAACTGGTGAATGGAGTCGAATTATGCAACACTGAAATGAACTACGCTGAATGAATTATTGGAAGCAAGGGGAAAAAGCACCAGCAACAAAACCAAAGCAACCCTTGTGGCAGAACTCATGGAGGGAGACAGAGAAAACACTGCAGCAGCTCCACGGGAAATAGATCCCAGCGAATTCGTTAAGAGATGAGGAGCAGGCTAGCCTTTTATCCAGAAACCCCGCCCCCCCCCCGTAGAGATATTGTCCCGACTGATGGCGGACATACAGGAGTATCTGGTGAATCCAAGCAAATCAACGAGCAGAAGAAAGAGTCACAACGCCGGTCAGCATTACCCCGGGGAAAACCAAAATTCCCCATCAAGCTGTAACGGAGCTTCCCGTACTCCAACCGAGTACCATCCGTTGATGGACACTTCCCAGCTTGCGCCAAGGACCACAAGCACCGCACCGGAAACCACAACCACCGCAGACTCCGCAACCGCTGTAGCTTGACTGGAGTCTCGCCGTCTTCCTTCCACCCTGCATCAGCTTCTGTCCTCCAGGACCATGTGGGAAAGACCTCTCCTCCAGGAGAGCGTAACAGGAACATCTCTTAAAAGAGCTAAGTGATTCAAGCTCAGGGGAGTATGCAGAGCATAACAATCCCCAGTGTGATTATAACAGCTCCCTCCAATAACGAGTCAAGGATACGTTTAGAGGGATCAAGAAGAACTGTCTAAACCTTTATTTTACTTGGGACTAGCCCATATGGTCATTACATTAACAATGCTGTGAAAACTCAATAAACTTACAAACAGCCAAATCATAGTAGGCAACATACAGTGACTTATTATAACACAATGGCATATTTTTTTAAAGGGGTGGGGGAGACAATATTTAACAGAAAATATCTCACATGCCTGCAGAATTAGCAATATGCAAATCTACCCAAATATGCAAATGAACCAGTCTTGCTATTCAGGTAGTGCATATTGCTGTTGCTACCAACAGAGGGCACTAGACAAGCTCCATAGCCAAATCCACCTAGTTGGTAGAAAAACCTCAGCAGTACAGGAGAGCAGGCAATACATTTCACAGTACACACACACTACAAACAATTACATTCAGGGCCGGCGCTACCATAAGGCGGCCCAGGCGGCCACCTTAGGGCGCACCAGCCCTGGGGGCGCGACATCAGGCAGACAGGAAGGAGGGAAGCGCACCTGGCTCCCCTCCAGCTGGTTACTACTTGTAGAGTGGCCGAGCGCAGCCCAGAGATTCCCGCCCGCGGAGCTCAGCCTCGGCCCGCCCACCTGGTGTCTGCCGCAGGCTGTGTGGAGGGGGCGGGGATATGAATGACATCATATCCCTGCTCCCTGTGTCCCACACAGCGCGGCTGGCGCCCTGTGATGGTGCTGGGCTGCAGGACGGGACTCCACAGAGCCGGACAGCATGCACCCAGGGGACAAGATTTAACAGATGTAAGTATGTAATTATGTATGTATGTATGTATATCTGTATGTATGTATGTCTCTGTATTTATGTGTGTATGTCTGTATGTCTCTGTATGTATGTCAGTATGTCTCTGTATGTATGTATGTCTCTGTATGTATGTATCTATCTCTATGTATGCATGTATGTATCTGTATGCATGCATGTATGTATCTGTATGTATGTCTGTCTCTGCATGTATGTCTCTGTACGTGTGTATGTCTGTATGTCTCTGTATGTATGTATGTCTCTGTATGTATGTCTCTGTATGTATGTTTGTATGTATCTATCTCTATGTATGTATGTCTCTGTATGCATGCATGTATGTAACTAAATGTTTGTCTCTGAATGTCTGTATATATGTCTCTGTATGCATGTGTGTAACTGTATGCCTTTATGTCTCTGTATGTACGTATGTGTCTGTGTGTCTCTGTATGCCTGTATGTCTTTGTATGTATGTTTATGTATGTATGTCTGTATGACGGTTTGCCTCTCTATGTATGAATGTTTGTATGTGTCTGTATGCCTGTATGTCTTGTATGTATGTTTCTGTATGCCTGTATGTCTCTGTATGTATGCCTGTATGTCTTTGTATGTATGTTTCTGTATGTGTCTGTATGGCAGTATGTCTCTGTATGCATGCATGTCTCTGTATGTATGTATGTATGTATGTATCTATCTCTATGTATGCATGTATGTATCTGCATGCATGTATGTATCTGCATGCATGTATGTATCTGTATGTATGTATGTCTGTCTCTGTATGTATGTCTCTGTACGTGTGTATGTCTGTATGTCTCTGTATGTATGTATGTCTCTGTATGTCTCTGTATGTATGTATGTATCTATCTCTATGTATGTATGTCTCTGTATGCATGCATGTATGTAACTAAATGTTTGTCTCTGAATGTCTGTATATATGTCTCTGTATGCATGTGTGTAACTGTATGCCTTTATGTCTCTGTATGTACGTATGTGTCTGTGTGTCTCTGTATGCCTGTATGTCTTTGTATGTATGTTTATGTATGTATGTCTGTATGACGGTTTGCCTCTCTATGTATGAATGTTTGTATGTGTCTGTATGCCTGTATGTCTTGTATGTATGTTTATGTATGCCTATATGTCTCTGTATGTATGCCTGTATGTCTTTGTATGTATGTTTCTGTATGTCTGTATGCCTGTATATATGTATGTGTCTGTATGGCAGTATGTCTCTGTATGCATGCATGTCTCTGTATGCATGCATGTCTTTGTATGCCTGTATGTATGTATTCGTCTGCATGACTGTATGTTTCTGTATGCCTGTATGTATGTATGTATGTGCCTTGATGTCTTTGTATGTATGTTTCTGTATGTATGTGTCTGTATGACGGTATGCCTCTGTATGTATGCATGTCTTTATATGCCTTCATGTCTCTGTATGCATGTATGTCTTTGCCTGTATGTCTGTATGTCTCTGACTGACTGTATGTGTCTAAATGTCTCTGTATGATTATTTCTGTGTTTGTATGACAGTGTACCTGTATGACTTTGACTGTGTGACTGAAAAATTATGCCTGTGGCTTGGGAGGAAATACACACAGGTGAAGATGCATTTTTTTTTTTTTTTAAAGGAGGTTGAGGGGCACCAAAATGCATGTTCGCCTGTGTAACTAAAAATCCTAGCACCGGCACTGATTACATTACACACACCCTGCACCTATAATGGGTACAGGGTGACTAAAACATAAGAGAAATAAAACAACCTACATAAATAGTCTGTCTGAAGGTAGAATAGGGGATTTAAAGCCAAATACATCAAAGAGTCATAGTCACAGGGGAGGAGGCTGGCAAGCAGGCCTCTCCAGGGCCAAGTGGCGAAGGGCACTTTGTCACATATCTCCCCTTCGGGGGGTAGACTAACCAAGCACCTGACTTTCTGTCAGTCAGTGCCTAAGTTAGTCGATTCACCCACCGACCATAAGCAAGTGCCAGAGTAGCCCACACACAACAAACAGTTATTAGAGCAGCCCACCCACAGCAAACAGTGACTGCACCTGGGTATTCCTCTGGGGTGATGGGGCAACACGCTGTGGGGACTTGAGGGGCAGAGGCCAGCGTTGCGCTCTGCCCTGATGCCAGTTCTTCCACTGGTATAGCCTGTAGGACATCAGGCTCTGGACAAGGGACAAAGGAAGGGCAGAGGCCAACTGCACTCTGCCCAGCTGCCAGCTCTTCTGCTGGGATGCTTGGGACATAGTCCGGCTCAGTAGCCAGGGGAACGTGGGGGTCAGTGGGGGTTAACATCTCCTCTGTTAACCCTGGGGTCGTTAGGAGGTAGCTGGGGAGGGGAGAATTAGCTTACCTCCTCCTTCTGATACTCCTGTGATGGTAGCGGAGGATCTGGACAGGCTGTCCAGCATCCCCGTGGGCCAGGCACAGAGACCACGGTCCCATCTGCGCCGTCTGGAAGATTGGTGTCTCCCCTTGGTAGGGTAAACTGCCGCTGGGGAGAGAGGGTGCTGTGCTGGAAGGAATCACAGGCTGCCGCTGGAGAGGGAGACCGACTGTCTCTGCTCCTTGTAGGACACACTGCTGCTGGGGGGAAAGGAAAACAGCTTCAGCCCCCTGGAACTCACACTGCCACTGGGGAGGAAGGACGACACCTTCGGCTCTCTGTAACTCACCCTGCCGCTGGAGAGGAAGGACGACACCTTCGGCTCCCTGTAACTCGCACTGCCACTGGGGAGGAAGGACGGCACCTTCGGCTCCCTGGGACTCACTCTGCCACTGGGGAGGAAGGACGACACCTTCGGCTCCCTGTAACTCACACTGCCGCTGGGGAGGAAGGACGGCACCTTCAGCTCCCTGTAACTCACACTGCCGCTGGGGAGGAAGGACGACACCTTCATCTCCCTGTAACTCGCACTGCCGCTGGGGAGGAAGGATGGCACCTTCAGCTCCCTGGGACTCACTCTGCCACTGGGGAGGAAGGACGACACCTTCGGCTCCCTGTAACTCACACTGCCGCTGGGGAGGAAGGATGACACCTTCGGCTCCCTGTAACTCGCACTGCCGCTGGGGAGGAAGGACGGCACCTTCGGCTCCCTGGGACTCACTCTGCCACTGGGGAGGAAGGACGACACCTTTGGCTCCCTGGAATTCGCACTGGGTGTCCAAATCCTCAACCTCCACAATTTCTGCTCAAAGACCATTGCCGCACTGTTCTCAGCACTCAACTGGCACATCACTTGGTAGACCACCTCGTTTGAAGGATCTGGGCCATAGCAGACCAACCGCAAATTTACCTCCTCTAGGTAGGCGTCACCCTCATAGCAACGTATCAGGTTTAGGTGCTCTTCGCAGGGTTCTATCCATGCTCGCTCCATGCTGCTGTAGATAGGGACACTGCCCAGTGGCTAGTGTTGCCCTCAATAACTTCTCATACGATACCAGTGTCTCCGAGCTGCTTCTCCTTGCACTAGGACGCCATCCCACCGCTGCCACCAATTGGTAGCAAACCTCAGCACACCTGCAACCAGCAAGGGCATATACAGCGAGACTGCCCACGCAACCGACCTAGGCCAAGCTGGAATAATGCAACACCCCAAACCCGAGCAGCCGTGCATTGTGTACAAGCTGCATTGTGTACATTCAGGCTGCCTCGGATAACTGTCAGGGACACTGACAAGAAGTACACATGGAGGGGAAGAAGGTACAAGGTCTACGAGACTCTGGGGCTACCTTAACACTAGTCCGAAATCATCTGGTACCAAAGAACAATCTCACTGGGGACTGCGTCGCTGTACGGGTGGCCGGGGGAGCGATTTACAAAGTTCCTACTGCCAAGGTGCATTTGAATTGGGGAGCGGGGCATGGCAATGTGGAGGTGGGGATGATGCAGGATTTACCCGCTGACGTCATTTTGGGGAACGACCTCAGCTTTTGTTACCCAACACACCATTCAGGAGGCGTACCTGGTTGTGACACGGAAGCAGGCCCGCACCACTGCTCCATGTAACCACTCTGAGGCTCAGGTAAGCAATGAAGATCCCCTGCCCTCTGTCCTGCCCTGGGCGACCCCCCTAGAATTTGTTTCCGAAGTGGCCCTAGATCCCTCACTGCAGATATATAAAGACCGCATAAACAAAGACCAGGCAGAGCTAGAAGGGGAAAGGTACACCTGGGACAAGGGGTTACTGTAACGGCACGCTGAGAAGGTAGTAGCCGGATCTATACCTCTACCCATTAAGCAGCTAATTGTGCCTCGGAAATATAGACTCGAGTTGTTAAGTATTGCCCATGATATTCCCCTATCTGGGCACTTAGGAATCAGCCGCACTAAGCACAGGCTAACCCAGAACTTCTTCTGGCCAGGTATCTCACAGGATGTTAGGCGGTATTGTCAGACCTGTGATACCTGTCAGAGGGTAGGGAAGAGGGGAGACAGATACAAAGCTCGGCTTCGTTCCCTGCCCATAATTGAGGAACCATTCAGTAGGGTGGCGGTGGATATAATAGGACCCCTAGCGAAACCCAGTCCCTCCGGCAAGAAATACGTCTTGACCATGGTGGACTATGCCACCAGATACCCAGAAGCGGTGGCCTTAACTAATGTGCACGCGGAAACAGTAGCGGATGCCCTTATGCGAATTCTCCTGCGTGGGATTTCCCCGGGAGATTATTTCGGATAGTGGCACCCAATTCACCGCCGAAGTCACACACCAGCTCTGGAAGATATGTGGGGTACAACAGATCTTGAATTCCGCATATCACCCCCAGTCCAATGGTCACTGTGAACGATTTAACTGTACTCTCAAACAGATGATCCATACGTTCATTGACACCCAGAAGGACTGGGAAAGGTTTCTTCCCCATTTACTTTTTGCCTATAGGGAAGTACCCCAAGAGTCCACCAGGTTCTCTCCGTTCGAACTACTATTCGGGAGGAGAGTGAGGGGACCCCTCGATTTATTACGAGAACACTGGGAGGGAGAAGGGATCATTAATGGCACACCTATCGTACCCTATGTACTCGAGTTTAGGGAATGCCTGGAGGCTCTGACCCAGACCATGCGCAACAACCTCCAGGAGGCCCAGCAATGACAGCGCAGATGGTACGATAAGGGGGCCAGGGACCGCAGCTTTCAGGTAGGGCAAAAAATACTAATCTTACGACCAGTACACAAGGACAAGCTGTAGGCCTCCTGGCAGGGCCCATACAAGGTGGTAGAACAGATATGTGATACCACCTATGTGATCGGTCCGGCCGTAGGCGCGGGGGGCAAACGCATGCTCCATGTGAATATGCTCAAGCCATACCATGAGCGTACCGAGGAGGTAACCGCGATCTGCGCGCCAGCTACCGAGGACTTTAATATTCTACCTCTTCCAGATCTCCTAGACCGAGAGGGCCAGGACGGAGACCCGGGAGAAGTACAGTTAGGAGAACGGTTAAGTTCCCAGGAGCGAACCCAAGCCCAAAGCTTAATCAGGGAAAAGGAGGCCACCTTCTCCAATTTTCCCGGGTACACCCCATTGGCCACTCACAAGGTAGAAACCCTAGAACAGACCCTGCTTCGCCAACCTCCTTACCGCAAACCAGAATCCGTAAAGGAAAACATGCGTAAGGAGATTGAAGAAATGTTACAACTAGGGGTGATAGAGCATTCTCACAGCCCCTGGGCCTCCCCGGTAGTGCTAGTGCTGAAACGGGACGGGACGACCCATTTTTGTGTAGACTACCGGAGGCTCAATGACAAAACTACCTCCGACGCTTACCCTATGCCCCGGATAGACATGCTCCTAGACAAAATGGCCAGGGGTCAGTACCTCACCACAATAGATGTGTGTAAAGGGTACTGGCAAATCCCGCAGCTGAGGACACCATCCCCAAGTCGGCGTTTGTCACCCCGTTTGGCCTGTACCAGTTTAAGGTCATGCCATTCGGGATGAAAAACGCCCCGACTATCTTTCAGAGGATGGTGGATCGGCTACTGGATGGGTTCCAGGAGTACGCTTGCACCTATCTAGACGATATAGCAAATTTCGGCCACTCCTGGACCGAACACCTGACCCACATAGGAGCCATATTAGACCGGATTAGGGAGGCAGGACTAACCCTTAAACCCAGTAAGTGCCACATAGGGATTGCAGAAGTTCAGTACCTAGGACATAGGGTAGGAAGCAGTCAACAGAAGCCAGAACCTGCTAAAATAGAGGCGGTCGCCAAGTGGCCAACCCCCTGCACCAAGACGCAGGTCCTCGCATTCCTAGGTACCGCAGGATACTATTCGCAAATTCATACCTAACTACAGCACCCTAGCAAAACCCCTCACCGACTTAACCCGTAAGAATCTCCCTAAGATAGTGGTATGGGCCCCAGAGTGTCAACAGGCCTTCCAACAGCTCAAGACGGCACTTATTCAATCACCTGTACTTTCTGCTCCTGATCCAACTAAACGCTTTCTCATCCATACAGATGCTTCTATGTTTGGATTGGGACCAGTATTGAGCCAAGTCGGAGCGGATGGCGGCAGGCATCCAGTAGCTTGCCTCAGCAGAAAAATCTTACCCAGAGAAGTAAGCTATGCCGCCATTGAAAAGGAATGCCTGGCTGTGGTGTGGGCCCTCAAAAATCTGCAACCATATTTGTATGGACAACCCTTCACATTACTCACAGATCACAACCCGTTGGTGTGGCTGAACAGGGTGTCAGGAGACAATGCTAGGCTGCTGTGCTGGAGTTTGGCACTGCAGCCTTTTGACTTTACCATCCACTACCATCCTGGGAAGCAAAATGGCAACACCGACGGGTTATCCCAACAAACAGACCTTGAAAAGTGATCTGTGAGTACTCCTCCGGACATCCCCAAGTCAATCCGTTGGCATCAGACTGTGTATGCCGGTTTGGTTCTGGGGGAGCATTGTGACAAAACTAGCCACTTAACACTATATGTTCATTAATATGATGCTGTGGCTTTAAGGCTATCCGAGCTGAGTGTATTCCCTATCTGTATTTGATGCGAATGAGAGCATTCGTATGCTGGCAGCATGAAAGCCACCAGCATTCATACAGTAGTTTCACGAACAGTGAATTTCAACACTGTTCGTGAAACGAACAAACTACCAAATGGGAGACCACACACAGGAGGTCGTGTGGCTCCCATTAAGTATTGCAACATTGTATCTTTCGGTAGTTAATAGATGTTCAAGGTGGCCGCTGTTCGGCTACCGACCACGCGGCGTTCGGCCATCTTGGATCCTTTGTTAGCCCAGCGGTAATTTGCCATTGAGCGCCTGGAACTAAAATCGGCTACTCAACGGCACGAATACCGCTGGACTTCCAGGCCGTTCGGGAGCACCGGTCTTTCGGTATTTTAGCCCTGCTGGTCTATTCGTGCCTTTCTTAAAAAATGTATGTCTAAGTGTATTTCGTGCGGCGTTCGGCTAATGGTGCTGGGATCTGAACTGTACTTTCATGAAGTATGCGCTCAGACCCCAGCTATCTGCCGAACGGTCATTCGGTATATTAGCATGAATAATGTTACAGTTAAATATTTTTATGTAAAAAGCCAGTTCTGCTGCACAGAGGGATAATCCACTTAACTGGATATTTTAGTGGGAGTATCCCTCTCGTGCAGCAGTGCATGGAGGGAGAAATGTCTTGGTTGTCAAGTCACCCATGTAGCCCCCTACTGTACAACCCCTGTAAAGGCAGTAGGGAAACTCCTTGCATGGGGAAGCACATAAATACTGTGACTTGTGATTAAAAGCTCATTTGACTCGCAGCCTATGTGTCGTCAAGTTCTTGGGAAGGAAGGATTTATTTAACGCTACCGGGATTATTGCATGCTGTACTTGTTATACCGGGATTATTGTATGCTGTTCCTGTCTACCAGCGGAGACACTGTGGATTATACTACCTCTCCGCTACAAGGAATAAAATTCTAAAATCCCACTAGAGGGCGATAGACACCAGGTCAAACTTGTAGCTTGTTTTAAAAACTCTGGAACAACAAAAAAACATATGATATATGAATACGTTTTTTTATGCAATAATTTACTTTTTAATTGAGCTATTGTGAAGTTCATAAATTTCATTAATTTTAGACTTTTTTGTTGTTCCTGATGTAGCTATTTTATGCCTGGGGTCTAGCGCCCTCTGGTGGGACTTGGTAGTGGGATTTTGGTGGCAGCATTCACCTGTGTTATTTTATATATATTTATATAAAGGATTGTTCTCAATTGATAATTACCAGAGTTGCCAAACCAAATTTTGAAACAATCCCAAAAACTAACCAAACCTTTTGCTCGTGTACATGTCCACTCCCTTAAGCCTAAAACTAGCTCATATCTAACCCTAACTAAATCCATAACCCTAACCCTAATACTAGTTCAGACCTTAATATTAGTTTTATGCCTAAACCTAGCCCATATCTAACCCTAATCAGATCCATAACCCTAACCCTAATACTAGTCCTGACCATAATACTAGTTTTATACCTAAACCAAGCCCATATCTAACCCTAACTAAATCCATAACCCTAACCCTAATACTAGTCCTGACCATAATACTAGTCTTATGCCTAAACCGAGCCCATATCTAACCCTAACTAAATCCATAACCCTAACCCTAATACTAGTCCTGACCATAATACTAGTCTTATACCTAAACGGAGCCCATATCTAACCCTAACTAAATCCATAACCCTAACCCTAATACTAGTCCTGACCATAATACTAGTCTTATGCCTAAACCAAGCCCATATCTAACCCTAACTAAATCCATAACCCTAACCCTAATACTAGTCCTGACCATAATACTAGTCTTATGCCTAAACCGAGCCCATATCTAACCATAACTAAATGCATAACCCTAATACTAGTCGTGACCATAATACTAGTCTTGTGCCTAAACCGAGCCCATATGTAACCCTAACTAAATTCATAACTCTAACCCTAATACTAGTCTTGACCATAATACTAGTCTTATGCCTAAACCGAGCCCATAACTAACCCTAACTAGATCCATAACCCTAACCCTAATACTAGTCCTGACCATAATACTAGTCTTATGCCTAAACCGAGCCCATATGTAACCCTAATCAGATCCATAACCCTATCCCTAATACTAGTCCTGACCATAATACTAGTTTTATGCCTAAACCTAATCAGATCCATAACCCTAACCCTAATACTAGTCCTGACCATAATACTAGTCTTATGCCTAAACCGAGTCTATATGTAACCCTAATCAGATTCATAACCCTAACACTAACCCATAATTCTCAATCTTAAAATTAACCAAATCCCCAGTCTTAACAGAAAGAACATATTATATAAATCTAAATAACGATAAAATGTGCATTATGGGAAAATAAAGCCATCTCAGGAATCTGGAGACTCGAGCTGGTGCTTGTGGTTTGTTATGAGGGTCTCCAGAGCCTCTAATGGCCTTATTGCCCCATTACACACTGATCACTGATCTCTACAATATATGTATCAGTTTCCATGTGGTCTATACTGATTGTGTCCCCCACAGACCTGATGAAGCATTCGCTCCCGAGCCGCATAGTGTTTGTGTCGTCCTTCATACACACTAAAGGAGTGATAAACATTAAACATCTGAAGGGGGAAGAGCTCCATGACTTGCACATAAGTGAATACTACAACTGCACCAAGTTAATGAACTTGGTCTGCTCCAATGAGTTGGCTCGACGATTGGAGGGAAGTGGTGAGTGACTGGGGATGGGGGATATTAATGTGGCTGGATGATATGTGACCACTCAGGGAAGTAATGCGAGTAGTGGAGGATGAGTGGCCAGTCAGGGAAGTAATTAATTGCTGGGGATGGGGGATAGTGGAGGGTGAGTGCCCACTCAGTGAAGTAATGAGTGACTAGGGATGGGGGATATCAATGTGGCTGGAGGATGAGTGACTGTTAAGACACCCCTGGCACACAGGAGAGAAACCGCCGTTTAGTTAAGCTTCCCCTTTTCTCAATAATGCAGGCTCAATTTGTGTATTCCTCAACCATACGAACTGAAGCCAGGGGAATGCGCCAATCTCCCGAACGGGACCCGTACAAGTTCTTCAAACTCCCGAACAATAAATCCACGAATCGCGGCTAACAGCCGAACAAATATATCCTCCAAGCGGCTTATGTTTCCAGCAATCAGTCGCTAACCGTGTGTAGTAAATCCCCCCAATAACGAGACCAAGCTTGACCTAAATGAAGGGTGAGACGCGATCTAAATGAAGGGTGAGACTTGACCTAAAGGGTGAGACTCGATCTAAATGAAGGGTGAGACTCGTACTAAATGAAGGTTGAGAGTAAAACAAGAACTGGGTTTACTGTGGGCTACCCGCCCGTATTTATGCAGGTCTCCCACTTGGTGGACACTCCCCTAGGGGACCAAATGGGAGACTGTAGTTACAGACAGACATACAGCACTTTAGGACATACAGGCACAGAATATTCCCTCAATGCATCCTGGTTTCCTCCCCTCTTCCCTGGAGATAATTGAGAAGCAATTCAATTATCTCCCAGGACAGAGGCAAATCGCCATTTTAAATGAAACATAAAAAACACATAAAAATAAATAATTATACAAACTACCGAACATATTACATTCGTGCAACGTATCCCCACATAGCCTGGATCTGAGTGCATATTCTTAGCAATAGCGCTCAGATCCCATAAGCACAGTTAAATCGCCATGGAGTCAAAGTCTTTTACAGTCTTTCGGTATGCGATTGACTCCATGGGATGGCTATCTGGGTTAAGTTCATTCGTATAATCCAAACTCCCGAATGGACCGGTGTTCGCATGCCTTGATGAATGAGAAGGGCGGTCTGTAGTCTCAGCGGTGTTCGGCAGAAAAAGTGTCAGTTTTTAGTTCCATAAAATCTGTGCCGAACACCGCTGGTCTTTCGCATGGTTTAAAATGGCCGCCGCCTCGTGGTCGGCATACGAACGACGACCACCCTGCATTCAGTTATAATTAAGAGGTGTCTGCGGTTAACCACAATGTTCTAATTGGGATCAAGAGGTTAACCAACCTGGGTGGCCGTCCGTTCGGTAAGTTCATTCGGTAAAAAGTCAAAAAGACGAATAGGGGTATACGGACAGGTAATTCCGCGAAGGGGAGGCAAACTAGACGAACCAGCAATAGTAGTCCTACAGATGAATCTGTCACAGTGACCACTCAGGGAAGTAATGAATCACTAGGGATGGGGGATACTCCACTCAGGGAAGTAATGAGTTACTAGGAATGGGGTATTAAAAAAAGGCTGGAGGATGAGTGGCCACTCAAGGAAGTATAGAATGACTGGGGTTAGGGGGTAGTGGTGTGGCTGGTCCTATTTAAGCCACTCTAGTCTTAGGACCAATGATCTTTAACTGCATTAGTTCCTGTCTGTTACTCTTACATAGTTATCAAAAGATCCAAAAGAAGGCAAAAAAACCCAGTCCCTTAGCTATGACTTGGCTTATCTGGTTCCTGACATAATCCTTTCCCTACCACTCCCAGGTACCAAGGTAGTGAGTGACAAGGCTAAAGAAAATATACTTCTTGCCCTGTCTCTGGAAATTCATGTCCCGGGCATTAGGCAATTCATATTCCCAGAGTAGTTCTATCACAGTTTAATGGGTTTCTGTATGTAGGATGTTAATTGGTACATGTGGCTCACAGATGAAATGGTAAAACACTCAGTTGGGGAAAACGTTATTTAGCGAATTGGGATTGCAGTTCTGAGGTTTGACAACTATTTATTGCTCAGCTAAAAAAGCTTGTTTAAAAAAAACTGCATTGTCCTAACGACTCCTATGTTTTGCTCCCTCACTTTCCCATTCAGTGGAATATGAAGAATCTTTCAAATAAAATGAATAAAAACAACAGATTAAGAAATGTGTTGTAAAAAAATAAGGAATAAATAAAAATGATGGCTCCCTTCTGTGAGAGTACTAGTGTCGCAATCTGCATGTATGCACAATGCTCACAGGAGTCTATTATAAGCTGCATATGCAGGATAATGGATGTAAGACCCATTCTAAATGAAGGTGACAATCAACCTCAATGAAAAGTGAGACTCAATCTCACTGAATGGTTTGTCCTTAGTGGGTCATCCTCAGTGGTATATTTCCCACAGGACTAACAAGGCATTTGCCTTGAGTGGCACTTATACGGGGGCATCATAAAATGCTGATGCCCTCTTTGCCTCTTTAATGGAGGCCAAATGCAAATATGAGGTTTTACACAGGTCCCTCCCCTCAAAAGCAGTTAAGTAAGCGTAGCGGAGCACTAGTCCTGACAAGGACTTTTCTTTCCGCTGAATCCGTGAAGACAGGAACTCAGGAACAAGGCCCTGAAATGTAAATAGTTCTATTCCTCCACAGTAACTGGACGACACACAGTTCTGGGAGTACAACTGATTTATTTCACACAAACTCAGCCTTTTATGCATAAACCCCCAGAATGGGGTCTCCATTCAAAAAGTACTAAGCCCCTCCCCTGCACCTCCCCCAGGCATCCCATTGTCTGAGAGATAATTGAGTCAAAACTGAGTAACCCAATTATCTCTCAGGTACAGGAAAATACATAACATATACATAAAACACCGCAAAAACATGGTTATAATTCACAGGAACCCCACAATTCTTATATCCCGGAAAAGCTCGGATCTGAGTGCCCAACATATCCAAGTTGCAATGAGATCCATTTGGTAGAATGAAAACGCCATTTGGGTAATGTGCTAACAGACTGGCCACAAGGCGATGGCCCAAAACAGTTCCAGATAGTGAAGACTGGTCGGCTTTC